GGTAATTATAATTATAATATTATGTTTGTATCAATTACAGGGTGTTTATATTGAATCTCTTGTAAATAAAAAGAAACAGTTTCGTAGTGATGAGACATTTATTGCTCATATTCACAGTGTATTATTACAATTGGCTTCAAAATCTTATCTTTATTATCACTCATACTGCCTGAATTCAACAAGTAATAAAGATGCACAATTTAGGTAAGACAATTATTAGGAATTTGTGTGCCATGGTATAGCATTTTTTGTCATGGCTGATCTTATTTTACAAACTTGTTATTAACATCACACAAATTCCTTTCAAATTGGGATGTTTACTTTTCCTAATCATTATTAAATTAAGGGAAAGTATATGACAAAAAACATTTCTGTCTGTGGCATAAATTTTCTTACTTGGTTAATTACAGCAACTGAACAGTTTTTATCAATAACTCTCAAACTATTTATTACTCAGTTTCGACTTATGGTCAAGTTCAATTGTGGCATGTGTTGTATGTATATTTTAAAGATATAGGTGACATTTTACTGAAAATTTTTTTCTTTTTGTAGTTGCAATAACACAAACAATTTTGATATAATCATCCTCAAAACCTTACCAAGATCTTACCAATTATAATAGCTTCTTCCACCATCCCAAACACTGTTTCTCTAAATTAGTGTTGAGCCATAGGTTGAAGAAGAAGAAAAAATGTGTGAAATTTAGGCAATAAATTCCAAAAAGGGGGATTTTTAATGATATAGTAGTATCATGAATATTATTAATTGAATATAATGTTATTATGATGACGTCATTGTTCTTACTTAATGTTTGGTATGAATTGTTTCCACTACATTTTAGCCAGTATTTTCTTTGCAAAATTTGGTATAGACATATTTTGGGTTGCTTCATAAATTTTATTTAACAGTTTGTATTCATTCTTTAATTGAATTCTAATTTAACATCTAGACTTTCAATGGGCAAGGTTGTAATAGTTACACTATGCTCTTTTTTCACATGCCTTTTGACATTTCTCTTACACTTTGTTGGTTTTGATTAAATTTATGAAATAGGCATGAGATAATTGATTACAGACTGATTGTAGTAACATATGTCTGGTTTCAAGTATTAAAATAAGTGGTTACATGTATAATATGCTTTAGGAAGGGATATTATGCTTTAGGAAGAGATATATAAATACACTGAACAAACCTTATACAAAAGGTAAATATTTAAACAACTAGACAGCACAGCCACAATAATTCTAAAAAAAACAACAAAATTTTATAATATGCTAGAGATACAGTATATCTGTCATTACTAGAAAACTAAATTAGTTTGCCCACCTCTGGCACATAAATAAATTAATAAAGCTACCAGGAATTCAATCTATTTATATATAAATATATTTATATAGTTTGTGAAATGCATGAGGATATGAGGATATTTTATGCAAATAATATTCAATATCCAAATTAGTTATTACACTTGGGAAAAATATTGGGGAGAACTCTGGTGATAATGTTTAATGCAGATGAGTTTTGCAGCCACCTGTTGTGATTTCTTCATGTTTGTTATTTAGACTTTTTAGACAGTCACAAAACAGGAATATTACTGAACTTTGGGGTAAAATTGCAGAAATATACAACAACAGATGTCTTGAGGTTCCCTGTAAGATCATCTTCAAATTAATATGGTGATGTGTAACATGGTGTTAACAATGCAACTATACCTCTTGAAAGTTTTCTAATCTAATACATCCACAATACCATACATGGCAAGTACCTTCTAAACTTTAAAAGTTTAGTCTTTTGTTTGACAGTTCAACAAATCATCAGGCTGGTAAAAAGACAATGGCTAGTTTCCTTGGAGTCACTGATGGTGATGCTGATATTGTGAAGGTAAACGAACAAACAAAGTAATGTTTATAAATGTATATGTAGCTATGAACACCTGTGTTGCCCATGTGGTAGATGTAAAAGTTCACATATAAAAAACATGTGGTGTGTACATGAGAATACTGACATATGGAAAACCTATTGCTCATGTGGTGTTTACATTGGAGCATGAACATATACTTATTTATTTAGTCATTATTTATTGGAATGAGGATGCATGTTACACATGTTTCTGTCACCAGGCTCAGGGCTCAATAAAAGACTTGGAAATGATGAACAGTGCAACTTGAGCATGTACATGCATTGAGAGTCAGTTGTTTCATCAAAACCACTACCAATGTTGCCCACATGGTGTTTATATAATAAACATGGTTTTTTCCATGTGTTTACATAGAAACATGTACATACATGTAAGGGTGGGAACACCAGTATGTGCTGCTCCTATGTTGTTTTTGATACATGAAATTTTCTCTAAAGCATGTCTAGCCAACATCCGATGACCATTGCATATACTAGATGACCCCAATTAAAACTTGATACATGGTAGCAGTCTATCTTTGCAGTGATAAATTACTATTGTATCTTGTTACATTTGCCGGATTTTCTTGTTAAAATTGTAACTTTAGTGTAAAGTGCATCCCATTTATATCCCATTTCTATGATCTGTTATAACATTTATATATAAAGTATTGTAATCTATTTTTTTTTTGCAGTACTGGGTGGAATTAATAAAACAGCAACAAGTTGATGACTTTATTGCTAGAATCAATGGATATTCTAATCATGACCAGCTACCCTCTCCGCCAGTCAGAATAGATTTCAGACAATCTCGAGAATATGCAGTGTAATGAGCCAATTAGCATCATGGTATTGGTAAAAGAATAGACACATTTACTACTAGTATTTGATAACTTACAAATGCAGATGCTTACAAATATACTACCACTAAATTTACATATTTTTTGAATGACTTTCTATACAAACATTTTCTAATGTTTAATTTGATATTATTAAATCTTAAAGTTTTGTTATATTAAGAAGATTTTTTTGTAGCGTCTGTAAATACACGAAATGATAGATTTGAAAACAGTCATTGTTTCCATTGGCTCGCGTGCGAGTTCCTGTTCAGCGAGTCTGCTTGTACTGATGATAACTGCACTTCTATGATTATTTCAATGCTAACATGTCCATGCTTATTTTAACGAAACATAACACTTTTTCTACTTGTACAAATAAAGTGGTTAGGTCGAAGTATTTGGGGCATTGAGGCTAAGTCTTCTACTAGCATTTACCCATGAAAATTGTCCCTCTATCCTGACTAAGCAACGGCAGACGCTTCTTTGTTTCAATTTGTTTCAATTCAAATTTGATCCGGATTGCGTGTAAATACATTCCAAGTGGGAGGGACGTCTCGTAAACATGCGGACTTATCACTCAACATGCACTTTATTTCTTTATTATATACTAAGTACTATTTATTATGGAATTGTGTGCTAGTTAACACTTGGGTTGTGGCAAATTTAACACCTTTCCGAGGTGTGACTACTTTTGAAACCTGCCATTGTCTTCATTTAAACGGCGGCGCATGACACAAGAATTCTGTGACCTTTCGGTGAACATGCACCCGTTTTTACTAACTACAATTATAATTCTATGATT